ATCCTGTGAAGCACTTTGAGTCGTCGAGAAGACGTGAAAAGTGCTTTATCAAATGCAAGGATTATTATTATTATCTTGGTAGACAAGGAAATATGTCGTCTTTTGCCCTACATTAAATTTAAATATGACACATTTCCTTGCACACATTAACACAGCATTAAAACTGTTTCTGGCCAACATTTTGATACTCATTGACTGTTAATGAACTATTTCATTCAATTGATAAGATGCTAAACATAAAACTTACAGCAAACTTTGATTTTGTTATGCTCAACAGTCCCGATTAAAACTGTGTCACTGCATAATGCAGCCATATTAGTTGTGAAAAATAATTACAAACTAAAAGTTACACAATTAAATAAAAGGACTCAAAAAAGAAGATCCAATAAGATTAAACTTTGAAAATGTAACTCCAGTACAGAGTAACAAACAAATCAAATAATAATCTTTGTATTTGATGTAACATCTTTTACATTGGGAGGATGTTTCAAAGGCTCTTCACAGGATTTACCGTAAAACATAGTGACTGGAATTTGCATGCAACAAAGTCCCACGAACAGCCATGAAGTGAGTAACCAATCAAGATTTCTGAAAGCTGGTAAAGTGCAAAACAGTTTGAAGTACAAAATACCAATCTGAAAAACTCCCTGGTTAAATTTAATAGTGGTGCAGTGAACACTGATTGATTTGGCACTTACAGACTGCAAAAGTTATCCATGTTTATGTATTACACAATTGTAAGGTGCTATTTGTTCAGTGTTTATCCTTTCAAATTTAAAATATTATGCTTTGTGTATTTCCTGCAAAGATCGATTTAACTTTTAAGTTATATCAATCATTCAATTGATCTGGCATATAAATAATTCTATCATATCCTTCCTAGGCATAACATCAATAAATATATATGATCTAGGGTTCATAAGAAGTGGAAATCATTACTGTGATTAAATATGGAATGTGAGCAAACAGAAAGGCTTTGTTATGGGGGATGGTTTGACCTCCCTCTGAGATAAGTCAGTTCTTGTCCACTGAATTGATATGTTGAAACAGAACATCCCTGGCACAGAAATACAGTGAAATCAACCTTTTAGGAGATTGTGTTTGTGTGTGTGTTTGGCAAATATGTTTAATTCATTCCTAAATCTTTTAAATTTAATTTATGATGTGGCAGGATATAAGCCATTCTTATTTAAGATTATAATTTGTTAAAGATCACAAATCAGGCAAAGTTTAGAAGGAACAGAAGGTCCAGAATCCACCTGAGAAATAGATCAATTGACCAGGATTATGATTGTTTGAAAGTTCATTCTTTTGTAACCTGCACAACTGAACACTAGAAACCAATAAATACCAGCTCATGTCAACTTAGATTTAATTGACTCTGCTGCAAGTTAAGGGCAGGCTAGCCCCACTTATCCTGGTCCTCTATTTATTATTTTTGACGTATATGACATGTAATCTGCAAAATAGTCTTGGACAATTGGTCTCTCCTCAACTGGACAGGAATGGCAGATTCCTCTAACTCTCAAGGCAATTTTTAGTCTTCTTAAAAGATCATTTCTCAAGAGCTTCTGAATGATTTCTTCAGTGTTTTATCCCCTATGCTTTTTTTCTAACTCAATCACTTTTAAGTGCTATTAATTGAATTTCGATGCATCTGTTGCCAAACCAAGCACAATTATTGTACACGGTTGAGCATTTGTCACACTATTTAACTATGTAAGTACAAATTAATTCTGATTTGATATAATGGGGGTCTGAATTGCAGCAATTTCAAATGGGATTTGAAGTGAAATGAACAGCCATGGAGTGAGTGAACACATTTATTTGGAGGATTGTTGGCCAGGACACCAGAAAAAAACTCCCTTCTCTTTTCAAGTAATGCAACAGAGTCTTTAATGTCCACTGAACAGGTATACAGGACCTTTGTTTAATCCCCCATCTAAAGGTTGTTACCTCTGAAAATGCAGCATTCCCCCAGCATGGTACTAAATTATCAGCCAAGACAATGAGCTCAGAGTTTAGACACAATCTTAAACACACAGCCTGCTGACTCAAGAGAGTGGCTATCAATTGAGCCAGGATGACACCTGACATACAAGTACAGTAAAGGTATAGATACCTCACTTTATAATTAAGGTTCTCTATGGTGTTATTTTGTGGAACCTCCACTTTAAACCTGGTTTAAGCCTGGGACGTCCTCCTGATATGAAAGACGCTATACAAATGTGATTTTGTTGTTGTTTTGGTTTTACAATTCTCCTCTCATCTGCTAATTTCCCCCAATCCAGATATGGCTTACTCTAGCATTTAATACTGGAGCAGATATTAAACATAGGGCACTTAATCTACCCGTTCTGAATTCTCTGAAGAAATCTGCTCAGCCTGTTAGAATCGGCTCAGCACCTCAAGCCCTCTGAGGCACTACCCTACATGGAGGGCGCTATATAAGTGCAAGTTGTTGTTGGATTAATGTGTAACTACTCACTTCTGTTTTGAATGCTGAACAAATTGATTTCAACAAAAACTATTCATCTTCAAGAAACTTCAAAATCGCTTAGAAATTAATCACATTTAAGAGTACAAATTATCCATTCTTGCTGCGTGGTGATACATTACATGTCTCTGTGAAATATTAATCAAAGACTAGCAAAAATGTTGATGAGAAGACCAACTGATAATAACAGAACCTAATGAATGCCTCCATTAAACAGAACATTGACAATTCCACAAGGCAACTTACAATAGAAAAGATATGTTTCCCAAATGTTCCTTCATCTTAAGACAATTTACTGGTTTAACTCAGAAGGATGACAGAGTAAAACTTGCATAAGTCTTATCTTTATAAATCGTATCATTGCCCAAGTTGTACACTCAACTGAGTCCGATTCAGTTTCGTATCAAAACCACTTAAGATATCCTTGCACTAGTTGTATTAATCATCTCCTACCTCGTATCGTCACTCCCCTATTCTCCATTACTTCTGCACTTTCCGGCTGCATTAAATCATGGGAAACGATGTCCTGATTCATCGCCACATGCAGACTTACAGAGGGTCAACATTCATAAAATGAATACTTTCCCCACTGATTGAACTTATTTCAATTACCGCTGAACATCCAATTTGAGACACCTTGACAACGTGATAAGGCACTATATCAAATGCAAGGATTATTATTGTTATTATAATGACTGATGGGCATCTTGTCTTGTACGAAATGATGCATCCATGTGGATGTCAAGGGACATCAGAACAAAATGAGCTGAAAAATGAGGTGAACATGGATCAGTGTGAGGTTAGTGTTTCAATTGCGGAAAATGACATGGAAGTGTGGATAGAAGCAAGCTTGCAGATGATATTAAAGTGGGAGGTTTTTTTCCTATCTTGCATCTTTATGATATTCCTTATTGAAGTCGTGTCTATTGCTAATCTCTGATGAACTGAAGACTTTTTTTGCAGTGGCCTACAGTCAAGAATAGTGTGATACAATAGTTTGTATTTTGTGCTGTTAAATTTTAATGCTATCGAAATAGTCTTCACCATGGATTTGCTGGAGATGTGCTTCATTACTTTGGGAAGAAATTATTCAAAATATCTCTTCAGTGGATGGATTAAAGTATTAATGGAAATGTTACAGATTAAATTGTACGCGATCTGAACTGAGTGGATTTGAAGGGCCAAATGTTCTTTCTTTATCCCATACTTTCTGATCGTAATCAATTCTTTGCTTGCTTTAAGTACAGTATTCTGGCACATTTTAATTTTCCAGATGAGTTAATTCTTTGCACTATTTTTATTGCACTTATTTAAATTCATATAACAACCTTTCCTGTGAGATTAAAATTCTTAATTATTTTCAGATTTACAAACTCCAACTGCTTAATAGAACTGACAAATGTGTTGTTACAGTGTGTGCAAGGTATATGTGACTGTAACTGTGAAATTAAATGATTATAATACAGAATAATTAGATCAGACTGTGAAATATTTATTAATGAAAATACACGAATTTGTGTATACATACTTTCAAAAAGAAATCATTCAAGACATTAAACCAGAAATGTCATGGAAATTAGTGTGGCTGTTAATAAAAGTAAAATGCTGATTTCTTTCTTTCAGATAATGCATAAACTATTCAGATATTATCTGACAGCATTGCATTACAAAATCATACTGTAAATGGTTTACTTTACCACAAGCACCTTTAAATCAGTACAACGTCATAAAAAGCTAATTTTGTGAAATTACAGGCAGTCTCTAATAGATCTACTAACGTTTTAAACATCAAGCTCACACTACTAATTAGGCACCTTGCATTTCATGAGCATTAATTCACTCATTAACTCACAGATTCAATAAAGAGCATGTATTAATGTAAATAGTTTAATACTGTACATTTTCCAACCTCAACATCACTATTTCAGAGATATGGATAAATGTGAAGCAACACATAATTGGATTAAAATTATCATGTTATTTCCTTAAATACTGTAATTATGCTTTTAACGGTGCAAATTAATAAACTGGTCCTTTGGGAAGAACCTAGTCCTACTCTAGCGTAAGAGCTTTTGGAGTAATGGTCCCATCTCATGTCCATGTTCAGCATCAATCTGTGCATATTGAGCTATCAAAGGGTTCAACAGTTATTACTGAACACCCCATAAATTCTGCTCAACACTAGCATTTTTTTTCCTTACAAAACATAGATTAAAAAAAAGATCAGCTTTGAAATAATGATATTTTCTGCCAGTTAAAACAGAGCAATGAGTTCATTAACATGAAACTTACACACTGTTATAGTGAGTGATGCTGCACTAATGGATGTGTAAACAAATACAACTATCTTATCTATAATTTTCTTTAAATAAAATGTAAGGAATGAAATAGTTGTGCTTTAACAAATGTCGTTTCACAAAAATACCTTCAAATTAATAAAGAATCAATATATTAACCAATGTCATTTATATTAAAAATGTTTTAACTGGTACCATCTGCAAGTTTAAATTTTAATAGATGCAAGGTATTACGCAGTACTGTAAATGATCTTATAATACAATTATTCAAATTTCTTGCTATAGTCACTGAATCTGTAAGAGCAATTCACTCTCATGTCATTCATCTGATCTTCCTCAGTCGAATTCTATTTTCTTTATCTTTCTTTTTGAGAATGTTTATGAACTGATTGAAGAAATGTTCTTGATCTTTCTTTTTCTGTACCATTCTAAACCGATGTTCTCTCCCATATTTTTCTGCAAACTCTTGGAAAGTGGATCTAGAAAGAAGAGGCGAGACATAAAACAATGATAAGCTTGTGCAACAGTCTGGACATGATGCGCTAAAAGCATTGGGCCTGACAATCAGAGTACTTGGACTGCAAAATGTCTCTTTTTATTTTTAGTTAAGCATTTATTTCATAAAGCCTTTCATAAGACATGGAACATTATGAATACAGTCACTGAAGAATAAATACAATCCTTTTAATCTTTCATTTAATTAATCAAATTATAGTGTTAGGGTATTGTTGTGCAAAGGCATTCCTTAAAGCACAACGATTATATTATTTCATGTTGATTAAAGAAAATGACATAAAGAATAAATTGTTTCATTTGTTGATATATGCAAACCACAACTTGCATTTATATAACGGCCCTCACACAGGGTAGCGTCTCAGAGCGCTTATTATGCAGCTTCTTATCCATTAATGCAGAATGACTCAATATAACAGTTTTACTTCAGATCGAAGGACTGGTTATATTTTCTAGAGGATAAACTTTTACATTGAAAGGTGCATTTATTTGAGCTTACTGATGTTGTGCAGGAATACACATGCTGATCATTCTTTTCTCAACTCCAAAATATCCAAAGATCAATAAAGGAAAATACTCTTTAGAAAATGTAACAGTAAATGGAAGTTGGCATGGTGACCATTTCACAGTGGTACAAAGGCATTATTATCACAGGTTTCTGAAATGTTAAACTACTCAGTGCTATTACCCCTGTGTCCTTATAAAGGACACAAACAAAAAGCCTGGTACATTGTGTTTTAACAATGAAAGAAATATAGATATGACACTTGCAGCTGAGCACACAGGATGGTCCAAACTGGGAGGTAGGAAACACAACTACTGTAAGATTGTGTAATTGTATGCTGGAATACAGTGCTATACAAAACTACATTTCCCCCTTCCCCAACCCCAGCCCCCCAACCATCTGTCCCAGAATGAAACAGGGATTTGGGATTAGACTGGATGGTTCTTGGAAAAGAAAACACTGACCCCAAAAAGTCTGAATTCAGAATGTTTGGGAGTTATTCTATGCTGTTTTGCAACAATGACCACAGAAATTCTTACACAGTTATATTGCCTTGATAAAAACAAATTCACTTAGAGTTGTTACTATGGAATTCTATCCGTTTGTATGCAAAACAGTTTACAGATCAATTAAACAAATATTCTATTGTTGACAAGAGCTATTGCATCTACTAACATTGAAGGAAACACAATGTTTTTTGCGAAGAATCTTATTACTTAAGAAAAAGTCATAGCACTAATACGATCTCATGTTTTTCTCATAAAACATTACTGTTAGATGGATTCTATCTACTACACTTTTACATGCTCTCTGCAGTACGTCTTGTGGTATGTGGTGAGCTGGGCATATTTTTTGGATTCATGTCAGTTAGTTTTATTTTCCTGAGCAGTAAACATAACATAACCACCTCATATATCACATAATTTTAAATGATGATATAGGAGGAAACATATTTTGCTTCTATTTTTCGCAAGATCAGTTCAACCAGACAATTGATTTAAGACGATTCAATTTTAATAGTTACCCACCTTCTTGCTGTTGTCCAAATCAACTATGTCTAACCATCTAGTATTTATTGAAGAAAGTCATGTTAACCCAAATCTGTCAGTGCTTCAGGCATTCCTCATTACATTAATAACCCAATTCATCATCATGCAAACTGGAGGTAGCAACATAGTACCCATAACTGTTAATTATGACCTTCTCATATCTTCTGTAGCATTTAAAACTGGATTCATAAAACATTTGACAATTTCCCTTTCCTCCAGGGACTACTGCCCTTGTATAGGCCACTCACTTCTCTACCTGGACCTTATTTAGCAGTAGAAATATTCATACTTTTTTCAGTATACCCCATTATAAACTTCTCCAATCATAAGTGAGCAGGATCATCAGTCATTGCCATCAAATCTGACACTTACAACAGTTGATTTGATATTTTATATTGAAGCATGTTGTGTTTGTTTCAAGGTGAACTCATTAAAGATAAATGTATGTTTTGTACATTGGATCCATTCTTCTTCCCTTTCACTTTGTTTCTGTCTACATTGAGCAGGCAAGAGGACAGGCAGACCGCCATTGCCACTGTATAATTGGCCACTAAGACATTTTGCAAAATAATCCCTAGGTGATTGAGTCACTTATCTTTTCTCTCTTCCTTCCTGGTTGGTGGTTGCAATACACACTTCATTTAACAACACCAAATTGGTCCTTTACTGTTGGGATTTGAAGACAGCAGTGGCAGAAATTGTAGCTGCCTCCCACTGGTGTTTTGCATGTTCTCTCATAAGGTCTTAGCAAGTGCAAAATATGAATGCATTTCCTTGGTGATCCTGAATGTGTGATGACCAGATAAATCGAGGTTAAGGATTTTAAAAAAAACAATTATTGAGTTTCATTCCATTTTAATTTGCTGTCCTACAAATTGAAGTCTTGGAGGATAATGGGCAAATTTTGTACACAGCTCTCCTAATAATTGCAAGGATGTGTAGTGAATTATTTAATCCTTTATACCAATATAGTTTACATGAAGAAGCTACAAACTAACCTATTGTGTCATTTGTATAAAATTCACCAAGTGACTGCTTCTCTTTCAAATTTGCATGCAGTACTGTAATCTAGCCGTGGTATGATTTTTTTTTCTAAAGTGGTTTGTTTACAAGTAATAAATGTGCAACATATGTCCATAAATATGCATTTCCTAATTACCTTAATTCATTTGCATTTGGATTCTAAGCTATTTCTTTGGAGCAAATTTCAATAACAATTAAAGCACAGTTCAAAACATAATTAAAGCACAGAGCAAATAAAACTTCTCTTTGTCCCATAAAAAAACCTTGTTAAAACAGACAATGATCTTTGTTTGTATCAATCAATTTGCATTTTAAGAGAGTTTTACAGAGTTAGAAAGCTATTGACTTTATAATTAATGGTGATATAACAATATATGATTCAGTAAAAATGTAATTAAATGCGTTGATTCTGAACACAAAACATATTTTGTGAGAAATAGATTTAACAAAATATGCAAAGCTTTTTTCTTAAATAAATAAAAAATTCAGACTAATAATCTTAACAGAATGGTACTGAAACAATTGATGAGGTCAAATGTGTCAGAAATTTGACCCTGAAAGTTAGATTATTGGGGTCCTGTAGCTCAGTGGTTAGAGCACTTGCCTCACAAGCAAGAGACTTGGGTTCGATTCCAGGCAGGGCAAAGTTTCCTTACTCCACACACCTGATAATAATCCCTCAAGAAAAAAACAATAATCAAATTGGTCACTTCAATCCACGACTGTTTGTGGGACACTGCTGTGCGCAATTGGCTGCTGCGTTTTGCCCACAAATATACAGTCAATTCACTTTACAGTCTATTCTGTGAAGCACTTTGAGACGTCTAGAATATGTGAAAACGTGCTTTATCAAATGCAAAGATTATTATTATTATTATGATTATAAAAAGACCTGGTGAAATGCTATTAAATGCCAATGGTTTTTGCAAAAGTCAGGGTTTAGCAAGAGGTCTAATGCTTTGTCCGATAATCTTGGTTCAGTAAGTGAGATGTAGTTTCTGCATTTGAGTATTTATACTGTAGAAGGAACAAATATTTTGTTGACAGAATGTTCCACAGTCAGTAGTTTGCTGTCCATTTTGTTCAGCCTTTCTGAATTGATATAAATGTTTTTGGGGTGAAGTTGCTGCAGTTCTGTATTTCTATTGGGAATCTGGAGGCCTTGCCTTTAGAATTAGCAGTTCTTATACTCATGTAACAGATATCCTGACAGGTCAGCTGCATCTTAGAACATTGTAGAATGTGTAAGGAGTTAGGATTCTTCATTCATTCCATTGCTATGTATGGTCTTAGACTGTACCAAGGGGATGATGGAGAGAAAGGTTTTCTCTATAGTGTGCACAACAGGGCTACATAATCCCATCAGCGATTATAAGAAAGCAACAAATGAGACACATCATTCAGCACATAAAGCTTCCCCTTCCATAGCCCTGCCTACCCAACATCTGGGGAGACCAAGCCACAAATAAAGTCAAATCTTGAAGCTGCCAGTAAAAATTAGCAGGGGGCTCGAAATTTCGAAGAATTCCCACTTAAAAGATGATTTTTTAAACAACTTTGCTTCTTAATCATCCTGAGACAGTTCAGATGTTTTACCAAGCAAAAAACATTTTTGTAATTGGATAGAGCTGCACATCTTCATAGATTTTGATACACTGATGATTTCCCACCAGTCAAGCTGCTGATCTCAGTCAAAGGCCAGGCACTTTGCTACGCAGAAGAAAAAAGCAATTGCAGTTTGTACATTTGATGATATTTAACACTAACTTTAAGGCCTCAAAACATCCCAATTTAGCACATTTTGTTATACATGTGTAACACTATGTAATCTGAGTTCTCACACCAACTAGTGCCTCTGCTATGGTTGCTGCATATCTGTTCCAGCAAAGCAGATCAGTTTTAGGTTAGATTTATAAATTAAAAATGGAATGGGTGAGTCCTGCATACCTCTCAGCATCTGATTATAGAGTAGTCTAGGCAACAGTCCAGAAGTAATTAATTTACTTGCTTTCTCAATTAGAATTGATGCATGCAGCAAAGACATAAAGAAAAGAAACATATGCGAATAAGTCAGCTTTGGTTTCCTTACAATCTATTTAGGCCCATTTTTTATTTGATTTTTGCAATTCGCAGCGAAGATTGCATGGAAGTGGGATCCTGGGAATCTAACTGGTTTATCCTGATTTAAACCTTTTTCATCAATGTTATGTAATTTCCCAGGGAAAGCACAGTATAAAACCATCATAAAACAGGCTTCCAGTAGTCTTAGGACATTGGCTCTACCTCAGGCCTTGCATATTAAAAATGTGTAAAAGATCTGAGACTGACTTGTGATAATTTGGAACACTAGTTTGTGCTTTATACACCTCAAAATACACTGGAGTCATGC